ATTAATGTTGAACACTTTTCATGCCACTGTAGGCCATTTGAGAAGTATCTATGCGTATCTTCTGCCTACTGTTTGTCCTTTTACTATTTACTTTATGATATGTATTAGATATAAGACCTTTGTTACATAAAAGTATTGTAAATATTTTATCCTAGTGCGTAAGTGCGTAATCTGCCTTTCAAGAGTTGAAGTAATTTTGATGAAATTCATCTTAGAGACTTGCTACCTTTATAGTTCATAGTTTCTGATCCTAACAAAAAAATATTTTCTCCAAAGTCAAGATACTCTGCTATATTTTGAGAATACTTTATAATTAAAGTTGTTATTTTTTTTCCATGTAGGCCTAGAATACATCTCAAATTCTGGAGCATGCTATCATGTGTGAATAAAAAGGGTTTTTTCCCTCCTACATAGATATCCAGCTGTTCGGCACCAATTTTTAAAGTGTTTCTGCATCTTGTTCACAATCAACTGACGGGTGGCCTGGTAGTGAGGTGGACTTCCACATGGTCAGCTGTGAATTGAGAGCAGAGGAGAACGGACTGCAGTGTGGCCAACCCCCTGGAGGTGATTTCTCATTTTCTCTCTCTCTCCCCTCAGTGAACCTATAAGCTCTATGGTAAAAACCTTAAAAATCAATCAACAATCAATTAACAACATATGATAGATCTTTTTCCAGACTATCTCTTAAGATCTATTGATTTTTTTTTTACATCAATAACATACTCTTTTGAAGACTATAACTTTAAATCTTAAAATCATATTGTCTATGTCCTCCAACTTTGTTCTTTCTTATCAAGTTACCTGTCTACTCTAGGTCTGTTCCATCCCAAAATAATTTAAATATTGCATGCCAACTTGCACTTAAAGAAATCCTGCCATGGTTTTCATTGGAAGTACATCAAATTTAGGATAGATTTTTTAAAAATGTATGTCTTCATTATAATTGGCTCCTCTAAACAACAAACATGGTGCATCTCTCCAATTATTTAAGCCCTCTTTAATTTCTCTTAATTAGGTATTGCCATTTTCCAGGTAGAGATCATACTTTCAGAAATTCATCTCTAAGTGTTTTATGCTTTTGAGTCTACTACATATATTATTTTCAAACTTTTTGTTACTAGTACATGGGAATACAACCAATTTTTAAACACAGAACCAGATCGTGTCATCTTGCTAAGGTGACTTAGTTCTGAACATTTCTTTGCTGTGGTATATTTCCTAGGAAGTTGATTTATGATCTTGCGTACCATGCAAAGTCATGTGAATAATAATTTTATTTCTTCATTTCTAAATTTTATGCCTTTAATCTTTTTCTTGTCTTATTGCTCTGGCTAGAACTGTCCCCAAAACAATGACTGCAGTACTTGCTTTGTAATATTGGATCACTGGGGAAGTCATGACTCATCTTTGCACAGAAAACACATCATGACTTAGGGAGTTTCAGTAGATGGGCTTTATCAGATTGAGGCAGTTCTGCTTTAATCTTAGTTTACTGAGCATTTCTGACACAAATAAGTGTTGATTTTTGTCAAATGCTGTTTTTCAGTAACTGGCATGCTATGATTTTCTACTTTATTTTTTTAATGCAGTACATTCCTATCGCCTGCCTGCCTCCCTCCCTCCCTTCCATTGCCAGAGGGTGCATGTGTCCTCCCAAGTGGCACCAGTCATGCCACAATCCCTTCTCTTCCATCTCTCCAGCCCGCCAGAATTTTAGAGATGCACACACATGCTCCTAGCACGCTTTTCTAGCCACCAGGGATAGGACTGGATCAGTCAGCTACGTGGGGTCTGGTTTCCTTTCACCAGCAGGCCATGTGCCAGCTTAAATGACTGACTTTTCAATGGCAGAACAACTTTATATTTCTGAATTGCTCATGCTAGATGATCCATTTTATATACTGCTGAGGTTGACTGGAGTGATCCTTGGTTGTCGTGTTTGTGTTTACATACGTGAGGTTATTGATCTGAAGTTTTCTTTTCCCATAATGTCTCTGACTGGGCTTGGCATCAAGGTGATGCGGGTGTCAGAAAATGGGGGTTAAGAAGTATCCCCTCTGTGCTTACTTTCTCAAAGAGTTTTTGCAATGATGGTATTCTTTATTTCTTAAAAAGCTTGATAGATTCCACAGTGAAGCCATCTGGGCCTCAAGTTTGCTTCATGGGAAGTTTTAATTAAGAATTTAAATTCTTTAACTGGTATGTGAGCTAGTCATGCATTCTATCTCTTCTGTCAGTTTTGGTAATTGGTGTCTTTCAAAACGTTTGTCCATTTCGTCTAAGTTGTCAAATCAATGAGAAGGTGATTTTTCCCACCACTGCCATACTTGTTCCTGGTCACCCGTGGTTTTCGGGTTTTTTTCCTGACCTCCCTGGTTACAGTTTCTTAATTTTATTACTGATCTTTTCAATGTACCAACAATCGGTTTCCCTGTCGTTAAGTATTCTTTTTTGTTCATCTTCTATTTCACTGATTCCTGCTCTTATCTTTATTATTTCTTTGCTTACTCTGGCTACATCTTGTTCTTTACCTAATATAAAAGCTATAGCACTGGTTTTTAACTATTCGCCTTTTCTAATATCGGGATTTAAAATATCACTTGGATACAGTGGCTGTGTAATTGTCCAAATTGCCTATACTTTGATTTTTTGTGTTTACCTATTCTATCGAATACTGAGAGACGAATACTAAAACACTCAACTGCATCAGTGGAGTTGCCTGCTTCTCCCTTCAGTATGTCAGTTTATTTTAAAGTCATAGTTTTAAATGCATCTGTCTTCATGATTATTATGTATTCTTGAAGGCTGGAAGCTATTATGAATTGTCCCCTCTCCTTTTTTCTTGAAAGTCTACTTGTTTGATATTAATATACCTACTCCAGCTTCCTGATTATTAGTGCTCATGTGATAGGTCTTTTCCCCCACGCATATTTTGTCAGTTCCTCCTAAAAAGCATGTACTTGGCATCTTGCTCGTACACAGCCTGAAAACCCCCCTGTTAAATGAAGTGCCCTTTTCGGAGGAGGACCCAATCTACTCTACTGCTGTGTGTTTCCTGTCAGGCTTGCTGGCTCCTGTGCTTTCCTCCTCCATTCCTGACACCTCTTCTCCCTTTTCTGGATCTAGTACTTTTTAATTTCCATTTTCTCTCTTTTGGCTTATCATCTGTAACTTACGTGGTTGCCACATGACAGCGTCCTCCTCATCTGAAACTCTCATTTAGAACCACAGGGGCCATGACATGGAAGGCAGATGCCAACAGGGAAAAACTAAAAAGAACTTGGTGACAACCTGTGCTGAGCTGATTCCAGGAACTGTCCATGTGGGCAGCGACAGCAGGCGGGGCAGGAAGGAAGCACACGCCGGGTGCCATGGAGTGGACAGCATGCACGCAAAGGGCCTGCAAGCTTCTAACAGCGTCTGGCGGCCATCCTGGGCAAACTGTCCCCAGGGACGAGGCTTTAATGCTTTATATGAATTCAAAACAGAAGCCGGCCTTGGCAGGAAAGACTATTACTCTGAGGGTTGAAAAAGTGATAGATGATGAAATGTGATGCTGAAAGGCCCGGCTGGGCCATTCATTTCTGCTGAAGCCATTCTCCA